TTTAGTGCTGCCATTTAACTCCTACCGTAACTTTTGTGTAAAACATACGGTACCAAACAGTAGCATATTAAGTTAACCTATCGAATGATTTTTGAAACAAGTTTTCAGCATTTTGAGGATTATCTTTGACCTTGTGCTTTACAATCGCGTTGATACAGCCGAATTTATTTCTTAGTCATCGTAACGGCCAACGATACAAGATCTGATTCTTCTGTTATTCGTAAGTTACCCCCTTTTTTATTCGAATCAAAGGCCTAGAAAAGATGTCGAAATCAAGAAAACCTATGTTGGACACATTTTCTGTGAGCTGTATATCACTCACTATTATCGTGCCGTATATCACTCTTTCGACAAATGAACGCTTTACGAGATATAGTCATTCTACTAAAGACTCTTTCTAGTTTATCTTTTCGAGTACCTAGGCATTATTCTTCCAGTATTGTTGTATGCTGCTAACTGACTAGAGCATTCATAATCCTTATTGCATAGGAATGTATAGGTGGCTTTGATTGTTTATTCCCGAGTGCTTCACGTTGCAATAGACTCTGGGCTGATTTCTGCTTCATCTTTTAATGTTTGATCTCACACTGTTTATCGTGGAGGGAGAGTTACATCCAAACAGCGGCTGCATCGCGCTTGTTTGGATCGGCAGTTGTTTTATCAGATGTGATAAGGCCGGGAGCGGAGAAATGCGATTCCGCGAGAGGATTTGCGTGCCGATTGTAGAGAGGGAGCGAAGAGAGTGCACGGGCTGCCGGGACGGACAGGGAGGACAGAGCGAAGGCGACCGATGTCGTCATAGCGTTGGCTGTCGGCCAACACGTGGGAGAGCTCGCTCCGCCCAGAACCGGCTGTCAGTTGAACAGCACGGTGCCAAGTTCGGTTCACGCCGTGTAACTCCGAGAAATTCGACCAAGTCCAGTCGCTCGACGCTATCAATTGTATTGTGATATGTTAGGCGCCACATCAGCACAGCCTGCCAATATGTGGAACCCGAATTCTTTCTGCAAATACTTATTTGATCCCGAGGTAAGGCATACTCCTTATCTGTAGCTAGCCTTTCGTTAGTGCTCAAGTAGGAGAATATGAAAGTGTAGAATTCGTGCAATTTTATGCGCTACTACGCGGTGCGGCTCCAACAGGAGGCGTTTGCATTGGCGAATTCACGTAGATTCGCACAGCGCTCTTCTTTTTTCGCCCGGCGCCCTACTGCAAACATTCCCGCGGGTGTTCTTCTATCTCTGATTAGAGAGTTATTTTCCCCACAAAGCAAACAACAATTTTTCTGAGTCAAACAAATATCTGATTTCATTGATATCCGTGCTTTCACAGAGCCATCCTTTTCAACAGAAACCTCGTACATTTGTGCTCCCA